ACCCGATCTTTGTCCAAACTTGGCCTCGTGACGTCATTGCATATAATACGCCCCAAAACCACCTACATTAGTACTAGCGCGGCACCGGAATTGCAGAGACGCAATTTCGATTCCTGCCTGTCAGAGGGCCTATAGTTGCATTTTTCGTAGCTGCTTCTGGCTGGGTGTAAATTGTATATAATATTCCGCTCCTAATAGGCATTTCCCCTTATGAGTGAAATTTTGATCTAGACAAGCCTGGACAAAAATTTCATCACAGCTGTAATGCAAAATGACTGAAAAACGGCAAATTTCGCTGGGCTGTATTATCCGCATTTTACAACATTTCGCAACGAAACTTCGGAATATTACTAATTTTGTAATGCTCTTTCAAGCTGTTATGGAATTTTTGTCCAGAGTTGTGCAGGTCAAAATTTCACTCGAAAGGGGAAAGGTCTATTTTCATCTACAAAAACTCGATGGTGACTTGTTGACGATGTACTGTTTTCCTCTTAACTAATATGAACAATCAGTACCCCAAGAAAATGTGGGCGCTTCCAAAATGTTTTATACTAGCATATTCTTGAAATTCCTGCTTTATAGGCTGCGAAGCCTAATATGCATGAGAGGGAATAAGGTGTAGACTATTGGAGTTTAGCGTGGCCAGTGTCAATACCGTGTTCGACAAGACTAAATCGACAGAATGGAGCTACTGGCAGCATATATAGGCATGCTCACTTTCGGATAGGTGATTTATGATCGGTTTGCTGCTTTATTGGAGGATAAATTGTCATGTAAATGACTTTATAGACAACCATATCATTGTACTCTTTAGGGAATAGATTTAATGTAATGTCACTCAATGGGGATAAATCACAGTTCGCATCAAATAGTGTTGAATGATTACTACAATAGGTGTTGCTAAAATTTACTGAAATATGCTTCATTGCTTTTTGAAATGCAATATTAATCTCTTTCTGAACATGGCATGCGCGAAAACGGATGTAGACAGTATCATGAGCGTTTGCTTTCTTTTCAACAGCTTCGCGGTAAAGATTTTGATGCAACTGTACACTTATTCAATTAAGGAGTCCAACAAATTCGCATGCATGCCATATCTGAAGCTGTGTCTACAGCTGCAATAATGAGATGAGCATCAGTCATTGCTGTACTGTTGGTGATCATATCAATAATAAAAATGTGAGCAAGCTTGCTTTAACATAGGCAGCGTTTACACTGTACCGTTTTCGTAGCGTTCTCGTATTGTTCTTAATCCTCAAGGGAACGCAAGACAATAGTCTAGTTATCTCGAACAATACGAGAACGCTACGAAAACGGTACAGTGTAAACGCTGCCATAGACAGCAAGCGCGACATAAAATTTCTTTTCGCGGGGTTTAATTTCTATAGCACTGGATGTCTTAAATGTATTGGTTTCATGCAGTATCAAGTGATCATGATTGAATGGACCGTGAATGACATGCACATGTGTAGATGTAAAAAGTGCTTCACTTCAATCCTACATTGGTTACCAGAAGACTACTGCGATTGTCATTGCAATTTTCTATTATCCGGGTCGGACCAGCCATTAGAATCTTCGCGACAAATGTAGCTAACCATTTTTACGACAATTTAATAACAGTATAGTCAATGTATATTTTCAAGATGCAATTTGTAATTATTTTAGAAACCATACTATTACCTATACTAACAGTGTGGTTAAAATTTACTGGTAGACTTAGAAATAACCCCATTCCTGGTTAATTATGGCCAGAAATCACGGACATGATTATTCTACTTCCTAACTAACTTTGCATATCATTCATACATAACCCATTGAAATATGGCTTCGATAGTAAACAGTAAATTATATTACGCGATACTTTAAATCCAAAACACTGTTACTTCGATATACTTTATAAACCATAAACCAAACTTAACCTTTCACGAGTTAAAACATTAATATTTAGCGTTTCTTTTACACTACTTTCAACGTACTTTAAACGTTCAACATGGCTTCTTCAATTCGCGCGCTTTTGTTTCTGTTCATCGCGGGCAACAACAAATATTCCACGTACGTCATGTTATTTTAGTCAAATCAACGTGACATCCCGCCCGGCAATGGGAGAATTCCCATTTCTTCCCTCATTCGTCTTCGTAGCCTTCAACTGGGTATATAACCACAATCTTGCTTATAGAACGTGAATAATTACCTTTCGTTGTTTTCACCATCACATTTCTTACCAATCCAACTTGTACCGGAAAGACTTTGACTATTCTTCCAGTTTCCCATTTACCTCGTAGTGCGTTTGGATCCGCCAATACTACGCAGTCAGTCACTTTAACGTTTCGTGATTCGTTATTCCACTTTTTTCTTGGAACCAGTTATTATTATTATTATTACAATATTGCCTGCTCCCAAAAGGGCTTTTCAGCAGGTAATTACAAATAATTTATATACTACAAACAATATATATATACACCCACAAACATACGTGCATACATACAAACACAAATTAAACTGGAAGCCAAGCTAACTGCTGAAGGATAGGCGTCACATGGTCATATTTTCTGATTCCAGTAATAACGCGTGCCGCGAAGTTCTACACGCTTTGGAGTTTTGATATATTCTTTTTCGAGGTGTTCGACCAAACGGAGGAACAATAATAAATTTTACTGAAGACCAGTGCATTTATAATAAGGGATAAAGTGTGTTTGTCGAAAATATGCTTAACTCTGTTGATTTGGCATAATTCAGTGATACATTTTGAGACGGTATCGACACTATGTTTGTCGTAAGTCAAACTTGAATCCAAAGTCATTCCCAAATCTTTAACCGTTTGAAGTGGGATTATTTTCTCACCAAGAACAGTTACATGGAAATCTGTGCCAGAGAGTTTTCTCAGCATTTGACTTGTACCCAGTAATAGAAGTTTCGTTTTCTTTGGATTCACTAGCAGACTATTTATACAGCACCATGCGGTAATTCTTTCCATATCTTGTGTAAGTTTAAACGCAGCAGTTTCAATATTCTGAATTGGAAATGCCAGATAGATTTTCGAATCATCCACATAAGATTCCAAAGAGGACTCTTTTGGAACATTGGGCAGGTCATTAATATATATGTTAAATAATGCCGGCCCAAGAATAGATCCTTGAGGTACCCCTTGAGTTATAATACATGTTTCCGACAATGTCGGCCCAATACGTACTATTTGGCTTCGTCCCGATAGATAACTTTTAAACCATGCCAACACTGATTTTAATAATGAATACGTTTTGCTTCCAATTAAACTCAGCAGAGTTGGCACTTGATGATTGTCGTCGACATCGTTTGCAGCGAAAAAATGTTGTACTCGTTCGACATACGTCTCCCAGCTTTCTTGGGTTTCATCAAAAACATCAATTTTTCCAATCGTCGTCATTTCTGGACTTATAACAATCCCAAATTCGTCGCCACTGTCGTGTATTTAGATTATACTTTTAACAAAATATGAATAATACATAAGCATGGCCGATCTAGCTACATATCTAATGCGCATGTCAGTGCGTATGACCGCTGTCCGTCTATATCTATATATCTAACACTTTGAGAATAAATACACAAACAATCAACAAAACATGTATATTTTTAAATTTTTAAGCAAGAAAATCGTAAGCGCCAGCGCTAATTGTAGTCAGCAACATAACGTCGCTACTGCGCATGCGATAAATCTCCAAGAATCTTGGAGATTTCATCGTATTTTACCAGGGTCTTCCTCAGCTCACGCGCCACCACGAGGAAGACCCTGGGGACGAGGTTGCCCCGTATGCCTTCAAAAGTGGAGTTTGAAGATGGCTGCTGACAGATATAAAACATGGCCAAAGATAAAAGCAAATACAATCAAACGTCAACAGAGAATAGGTAGACAATTTATTCAATTATGTTGTTAAAATTTTTCTTTGTTGCCAAAGTTTTACCTCTTACCCATTTATGCACCTATCAATGTTTTCCCCCTGGGGGGAGGGGGGGTGCGGGCAACCCAAGGGGCATCCCCGCTGTTGGGCAAGAAACGGCTGTCAAAATTCCCCACTATATTCCTAAGATAACAAGGCACACATATGTTTTCCAATGCGAACATACAGTCTATACTAGTTTAAACTTGGTAAAAATTGAGACACTGTGTATAAAAGGCTATAAAATACCTTTTTCGATGAAACTTGATTGTGCTTCTTCGCCATACTTGTTACCAGGCCTTTCAATGTCAAAACTGTGCAAACTTTCAAGATGGTGGATATCAAAATTTCCCAACTCTGGGAGTTGATGCATAGGAAATTCCCCTCACTGGGGCTCCATAGTGTGGTCAAAGACCCCTGGGTCGCCCGCACCCCCTCCCCCCTCAGGGGAGGATCGAAACTCGGATTGGATTCGGATTAGACAATTTCGGATCGGATCAGATTTTAAAAACAGGCAATTGTCGGATTATAAACGTCCAATCCGATCCGATGCACACACCTACTATATGTATAGGTAGATAATGATTTGCTAAATACAAAGATAGAAAATATCAATTTATACTTTTGTAAATGAGGACTATAATTGCAGGCAACTTCTTAGTCTGGTTCACATGGCAAACAAATCATGAACTTCCATTTATTTTGTTTTAGCTTTCTACGCAGTGTCTCATATAGAGAGTTCACAAGACTAATATATGGACTTCTTGGCAACAGAAGAATCGTACAACCTGTATGTGCCTACATTGCAATAAGAAATCCCATCATGGAAAAGGAAGGACAGTTTACTGGATATTCTGACGACTCAGACTAGTTTCTTTATTCTGCAGGGATTACGTGGGAACGAACAGCTATAGCTTTGCAATATAATTATTATTATTATTATTATTATTATTATTATTATTATTATTATTATTATTACTATTATTATTATTATACTCCTTCGTCGCATCTAATAACTTCGTCGAACACAACATACAAAAAGGCTTCACCCCCAACCTATCTGGAACTCTAGAACATACTGCGCAAATGGCTGACATTATTAATAAAGCTCGGATCAGACAACGCTCTGTTGTCATCACCCTACTTGATCTTAAGAATGCCTTCGGCGAAATCCATCACAACCTCATTCAATCCGTACTTGACTACCACCATATCCCTGATTATATAAAATTTGTTATAAAAAGTTTGTATACTGATTTTCAAACCTCGATAATTACCTCTGAATTCCGCACTCCTTTTATGACAGTTGGCCGTGGCGTATTGCAAGGAGATTGCCTCAGTCCTCTTCTTTTTAACATGTGCTTCAATACATTCATTCAGCATATCAAGGCTGAAAAGTATCGTCAATTTGGGTTTTCCTTCAAATTACTAAATCCCATCCATTGGTTCCAGTTTGCTGATGACGCGGCTGTAATTACTGGCCAAGAATCCGAAAACCAACATCTGTTAAATCGATTTTCTATCTGGTGCCAATGGTCCGATATGATTATCCGAGTTGACAAATGCAGTACCTTTGGCATTAAAAAAGCGATCACAAAATCAGTTCAGTACTTGCCAAAACTCCTCATCAGCAATCAACTAATACCAAAAATCACAATTGGAGAATCATTTCAATATTTAGGACGTTACTTTGATTTCCACATGTCGAATGATAATCACAAAACTGAACTAACCACCCTACTTAATGAACTAATGTCTGATATTGACTCAAAGCCACTACACCCCAAAAATAAACTGCTCCTCTACAGTCGCTACGTCTTGTCCAAGTTAGCCTGGCACTTCACCGTTGCAACACTCTCTAAAACATGGGTTACTGAAAATATCGACTCTATTGCCAACAAATATATCCGCAGATGGCTTGAAGTACCAATATCAGGAACACTAAGTACTGTCTTTCTAACAAATAACAAATTTGGCCTGAGTATTTATCCTCCATCTGTAAAATTTATCCAGTGTCAAACAGTCCTCCGAAAAGCTTTAAAATCTTCTCCCAATGAATCAACTAACGACCTGTGGAGAGCAACCAGTAACCATACTAATATCCAATATGACGCTTATAGTTCTGCTAAGGAAGTTCTCAAAGATTTCCGTTCTGGACACGAAAACAAACTCCTAAACCAATTAACCAGTCAAGGATCCTTTTTCTGTAGCGTCACGAAGTTCGCTTTACCTCAACTTAGCAAGGTGTGGTCCGTCGCCCAATCAAAGCTCCCGAAAAACATTTACAACTTTACCATTCGTTACATTAACAACTCTCTTCCGACGCGTAAAAACCTAAACAGATGGGCAATATCTTCAAATTCAGACTGTTCTTTTTGTCTTAGCCCTGAAACATTACTACACATAGTAGCTGGATGTCAGTTTTATCTCGACCGATTTACGTGGTGATACGTTTATCTCGACCGATTTACGTACTTACTGGTGATACGTATCGCCCAGATTTGTTATTATCGTGCTCAAATGGTTCCTTATATGTGGTTGAACTCACCACTGGTTATGAGACAAACCTCAAAAACAACGTAAAACGGAAGAAGGATAAATATAGAGAATTATTGAGACAGCTAGGTAAAAATTTTAACCAAGTTAAATTTATAAATCTCTCCACCAGCTCTTTACGTATTTTTGCAGAAGAATGTTATACATTTTTAGACATGTTAGATAGTATTGGTCTTGACAAAAACCACCAAATGTACTGCGTTAGGAAAATGATGACTATTGCTATTAGAACTACATATTACATTTTTTGTTGCCGAAATAAGGAATGGGAAAATCCGGATTTACTAACAATTTGACTTATCTCATTGTATATATATATATATATTGCATGCACTTTGTTCTGTTATTTTGGTTTAGTATAATTGTGATTCAAATGGCCAACCGTAAGTTACCTTTATGAGAGAGATTTACGATTGTATATGTATGTAAAGAAAAACATTCAATAAAGTTTCCATTATTATTATTATTATTATTATTAAAACTTTATTTAAAGAAGGTTAATTTAGAAGGAAATATGCCAGTTTAGCTTTCGCTAATCTTCCACTGGACCTTCTAAAGTTAACTATTTAATCGAATATATTTACATGCAGTACAATTTACATTTCTACTGACTACAGGATACATAATTACATAAAGTACATATCGATATATGTATAAAAAAAAATTGGAATTAACATACACTGTACATCTTATGAGTTATTTTTGTACATATCCAAAAACAATTCATGGGCTTTACGCTTGAATGCTTGAAATGAGCTGGAAGATCTAATATCTGGTTACCGAAGTCCACTCCTGGTGATTGATAGTTTATAGTTTGGTATCCATAAGTCCATATTGGCAGTGCTTCTTGTATGTCGCTGGGAAATTGTTGACAATGGTTTAAACATATTACTTAAATAGTCTGGAGTCAAGTTATTTAAGGATTTATAAACTAGGCAAACTACCCTATACATAACTCTGTACTTTATTGGTAAAATGTTTGACTGTTCGAAAAGTGGTTTAGATGGAGAAAGTTTTGATTTATCAAAAATTAGTTTTAGGATAAGTTTTTGTAGTTTGTATATTCGTGAAGTGTGTGGTGATTGTCCCCAAACGGTGCAGCAATAATATATATAAAGTATAATGAATAAAATACTTTATTATAGGAAATTAACGATGCACTTAATTAACGCGACATAAATTAACGCGACATCAAATTAACGCGGATTGCTTCTAGGTCTTTTAAAACATTACTATATTAACGCGAATCTGATCTCCATGGTTGACAAAATAATTAAATTTAACGCGAATCGGATAGTGAACTGAGTTGAGAGGAGCAGTGATGTTTTTAGTTTACGTTAATATGCTGTATTTTGATATTAGAAGAGTTAGTGTTATATAAAACAAATCAATGTCTTTTTAACTAACGATAAATAAAAATTACATACTTAAAATTAACGATGACATAAATTAACATTCATTAAATTAACGCGAATTTTTAAAATCCGCGTTAACAAAGTGCATCGTTAATTTCCTATAATAAGGTATGACATACTGAACATTTGCCATTTTTTATGAACTGTGTGCAATGATCATGGTATAGTATTATCGAGGTATCGTTATATTCTTTTATTAAATGGCAGCTCTTAAAAGAGCTTTTTTTTGTTTTGCTTGAAGCAAGCTTTTCTTTCATGATACCTAGGCCTAAGTCCTTACCTGTTTTTTGGACAATTTATATCTTTAGTATGCCCCTTCATTGGATGTCCACATGTTCGACAATGGCGTTTTGGACCTTCATTATTTTTCTTTGCCTCCTTTTGTCGCCTAAGTTGTTCCAGATGTTGCAATACTATACAAAGTTGATATAACAAACCTTTTAGTCTAAATTCTGACAAATAAATTTGTCTCTGTCATGGAGTAAAAAACAAAAATGAGAGTTATTTAACGAAACATGAAAAAACACTAGATTTTACAAAATATTACAAACCAGGAATACTGGGTGGAACATCTTCAATGGTCATTTCTCTCTTGTCATTTCTTTTCCTCACTGCCTCCTCCTTTGTTTGCTTATTTAGCATTGTGTTCATAGCAGGGGGGCACATTTGCTTCAGTTCAGCACTTCAGCTTCTTCGCTTTTCAGGTCCCTTTCAGTAGCTGACAAGAAAGTCTTGTATATTTCTTGTAGATAATCTAGAAAAAAAGTTAACAAAGTATATTGTAAATAGTTAAATATAAGACAGCATTATAGACGGCTGGCCATGACATGATCTTGTACAACTTGATCGCAACTTTATGCCTGTTAGAAGCTGGAAACAGGGATTTTCTTATAGTTTAAGCCTTGGTAAACAAGACTATATGTGTTACCACTTCTGATTTTTGCTTTATAGTCGAAAAATTGAGAATTTTAAAATTTTGCCTATTAAATTACTATGATGGCAAAAAATGTAAAATTTCATGTTCTCTTATACAAAAAATAAACTATACCACTAGAAAGATCGCAAACAAATTATATATAAGACAATTAAGTGAGTTCTACGTTTTTCGAATCCTATTTCGAGTTTTTAATGCTAAAAAATACGGAAATGACCAAATTAATGCTAACAAGTGCCCATTTTGCCAACTTTATTAATCCAAAATCGGCTTGAAAAATCGCACTAGTCGCTTAATTGTCTTATATATAGTTTTTTTGCGATCTTTCTAGTGGTATAGTTTATTTTTCCTATGAGAGAACATGAGATTTTAAATTTTTTGCCATCATAGTAATTTAGTTATAAAACACAAAGTTTGCAGTTTGTTATAAAAAATAAAAAAGTGTATTGCAAAGTATATTGTATGAGTTTCTTCAGTCTTCACACTAAAAATTGAAATTGTATGTCAGCCTATACTTCTATATCTATTTGGATTTCCCTCCCACTTAGCTTTGTGTGTTGCCATGAGAAATGTAGAGTAAGAGATATCCAGTCGTTCGGCAGGAACGGAAAAAACGAAGACCTGGATCTAGAAGAAGAATCTGACGAGTTGCAAGTGACTGAGCAGAATGTTCGCCAAGCTAAGCGCGGAAAACCTGTCCATCCTATCTGGAGTGATGCATTTGACGTACCAGATGTACACTGCATTCAGAGTCCCAACAATGCCCTTTGCAAGCATTGCAAACAATCTGTACGACACCATCACAACGACACTCTCTGTTGAAACCCATTTGCGTAAATGCCAGCCTTTTAAAAAAATCATGCATGATGGATAAACCAGTACGTGACCGTCCAGACTGGTGGAATAACGGCGTGAATGGAGCTTCCAAGGAAGCCAAAGTTGCTACTTCAAGTTCAAGCAAGAGTGTTTCGTCCTTTGGCAATTTGACGCAGTCTTCGCTGAGATCGTTTGCTATCCCACATTTGAACGCCACGGAGCAGAAGAAGTTTAATCAAGAGATCGCCATGTACTTCTACTGCACAGGAACAAGTTTTGTGCGTGTTGAAGACCCCTATCTTCTTCGGGCTATACAATTGTTGCGACCAGGTACACGACTTCCGACGCGGAAGCAACTAGCTGATGATAGTTCTGGCGGTTTGCTGGAGAGTTGCTATCAGAGAGTCAAGGCGGAAGTTGGTAAGTTGTTATCCCTTAACAAACAGTATATCTGCATCACCAGCGACGCGTGGTCCAGTACACTGAACGAGCCGATAGTCAACTACATGGCTGTATCCCCAACCAAGTCACTATTCCTAGAAGCTGTTCACACTGAAGATCAGCCACATGATGCTGAATGGCTCGCCGCCGATTTAATTCGTGTGATGGATGGTATTGGAGATAACGCGGTTGGTTGCGTGACAGATAATACGGCAGCAAATAAGAAGGCTTGGAAGGAGTTGGAACAGAAGTGCCCAAACTGTTTCTTCCACGGCTGTGTGTGTCACGGACTGAATCGTTTGGTCAAAGACATCTTTGGAGCCAAGATGAAGATACCTGAAGGCGGTGGCCCTGCTCAATATCCAGATGGATACCCATTCGAAGACCTATTACTCTTTACCGCTGACTGCAAGGACATTGTTTCGTTTTTCCACAACCATCACGCTCCCATGGCTAATCTGCAGAAGGCGTTGAAATCTTCCAAGTTAAAGGGTCTTGTCCGTCCAGCAACAACACGGTGGGGCACAATCCAGGATTGCTTTAAATCCTTACAAGCAGCAGATTACGTTATGAATGTGTTGGTATCGCAGCGTGATTTTGTCTCGACTGGAAACGCCAATCAGAAGGAGAAACGTACGGCCATTAAGACGATCATTACTGATCCTGATTTCGTCACCAAGCTGGATGAATGCATCAAAATCCTTGAACCGATCGATATGTTCATCAAGGTTTTCCAGAGCGTTTATAACGCGTTCCTTGACCTGGAGAACAAGACGAATGGGCTGACAAACATCAACGCAGAAAAGAAGGCCTATCTGGTTAAGCAAGTGAAGAAGCGATTCGACTTCATGTACGCGGATGCGCATGGCATGGCTTACCTATTGGATCCAGGATATCTCGGCGATAAGATGTCGCGTGCACTACGGAAGGAAATAGAAGATTTCATCTTCAACTTCCCTACAGCAGACGGCAGCACGTGTGAGGAGAGAAAACAGAAATTGGCTGAGGAGTACACGGCCTTCCGCATTGATGCACTCCAGGAAAGAGAGAAGATTCTGTTTTAAGATGATAGGCAAATCTAAAACGGTGTTGCAGTGGTGGATGGCAGATGGCACAGACTGGCCGGTGCTACAGAATCTTGCGCTCCGTGTCTTTGCAATGGCAGCGTTGTCCGCAGCATCAGAGCGCAACTTTTCTACATTTGGGTTTATTCACAGCAAACTGCGCAATCGCCTGACTCCAGAAAAGGTCAAGAAGTTAGTCAACATAAAGGCGAACACCTTACAGATGTCAGATAAACTTTGCGAAAGCTACGAATGTGCGGAAAATGATGAGGAACTTGAAACAATGGAAATCGATGAGGACTAGTGCTAGAACAGAAATGTTTTGGTCAAATCAAACAATGTTCCAGTTATATTGCCCAAATGAGTACAATCATAGTTAATATAAAAGACTACGGTACATTAAAAAACAAAGGAGTTTTTACAGAGCCTGCCCCGCAGGCTATCATATTAATAATTAGTTAGTGCACTAGACCGGAAGTGCAATATTTGGTACTATTTTGGTTCCGGTTAAATAGTTGTATTAAAAAATATTCAAACATAGTTACGAAAACGCCACATGCCCAAAATGGATATCTGCCACAATGGATGAATGGACTGTTCGTAATATTATAAGGTTAATATTGGTGTTCTCTGTATAGTTACTATAGTAAGTGTTAAATAACTTAAATTGTCTATTACCTACCTACCTACCTACCTACCTACCTA